TAGCTCCAACAGGGCTCTGCCTGGCCAGGRCGAAGTGACTCAGCAAGTTGTCCCCAGACACGGTTGCAATTTGAAGCAGAACCACTCTGGTGCAGGAGGACATTGTCCAAGCTCTGCCATACGGCTCCACTTGCAGGCACCCACCACCAGTTCCCGCAAGAATCACCTGTTGAGCTGGTTCATCAGCTTCCTCACAGCACTCAGGTCACTATCCCGAACCTCCTGCACCAACATGAGGTCATACTCGGACACAACCTGGGGARACAAGCCCAGAACCAGTCACCTGCAGCCAGGAGCTGCTCACACAGGCACCTATGTGCCTGAGCACCTCATCTACACATTTCTTGAGCACTGCCAGGGATAGTGATTCCACCACTTCCTTAGGCAGCCTGTTCTAATACTTGATTTCTTTTTCCACGTAGCTTTTTTTTTTTTTTTTTTTTTTAAATGTCCAACCTGAACCTCCTTCAATACAACTTGAAGCCATTTCTTCCTGTCCTATTTGTAGTTATTCTAGAGAAGAGATTGACCCTCACCCCACTACAACCTCTTTTCAGGTAGCTGCAGAAAACAAGATAACCCCAAGCTGCCTCTTCTCCAGACTAAATAACCCCCAACTCCCTCAGCTGCTCCTCGTAAGGTCTGTGCTCCAGCCATAATCACCCTTCCCACCCAGAAATCTGGGATCATCTCAGGCTGTTCTGAATGAGGGCCTCAGACAGAGTCAAGAACCACTGGCCCTCAGCCAGGGATTAGGTCTGGAGAGGGGCAGTTGGGTGGGGAGGGCAAGAAGGGGTGAGTGGGCAGGTGAATGTGTACATGGGTGGTTGTAAATGTGTGGGCTGGGGACAGATGGATAGTCAGGTGGGTGGATAGGTGGCTAGATGGCTGGGTCACTGCATGGGCTATTGGATGGGTGGGTAGATGAGTGGGTTAGTGCAAGCATAGGTGGATGGACAGATTGCCAGCAGAAAGCTGGTGTCCAAACACCCTAATCTAACTGCTTCCCAGAGAGCAGCCAGGACTGCCCCTCTCCCAGCACTCACAGCAACTATGATATCCGCGACAGTCTTGTTGGACATCTTGCTGTCACCAAACGTCCTGATGTTGAAGGCGCCGATCTTGAGCGTGGCAGCCACGTGTAGCAGSAGAGCTGCAGCCAGCAGCACCAGCCTTGCAGCCCCCATCCTGAGCACAGAGGGGCAGGAACGGCCTCAGTCCATGGGCAGGAGTATTTAGCACAGGTCATAAAGGTGGCACGGGGATCCCCACTTGCTGTACTGGTTGTACAGGGAGGCATGGTGCCTTCTGCCACTTGCAGTAGCCAAAGTCAGCTCCCCAGTGCTGGGAAGCTGGAGTATCGTGGTGCCCTTGGGAGGCTGGGTCAGCCCAGCCTCACAGCTCTCCCTCCTCCTCCTCAGTGGAGGACCCTGGAGTGGAGGGACCGGCTCTGCTCAGGTGTGAACTCACTGCCACCCGAGATGTGACTGGRGCAGGATTTGATCCCAAGCAGAGCTCTGCAGTGGAAGTGCTCCCTGAGGTCACACGTGAACACTCATCCACGTTATTTCCTATTTGCCATCCTTTCTTTCTTTCCCCTTCCAAGGAACCCCCCCAATGCCAGGAGCCTGCTCACCCCATCCAGGATGGTGCAGTCTCGCCCACCCACCCGACTCCAGCCTGAGGATGGGGACTGGAAAGCCCAGTCCTGTGGGTGCCAGCCTCCCTGCTYGCCTGGCTCCTCGCCTGCGGCCCGCCGGGACGGGTGGCTGCAGAAYGGGTGGCTTCATGGCACCCCAGTACCACCTTCCCTGCAGCTGCCCCTCTTGGCTTGAGGCAGATGGAACTAGCCTTGGACAAGTGCTACTGGGAAAAAAAATGGAGCTACTGGCCCAGTTGGACCCCTTCTAGCTAGAGCACCCRGGAACTGGAGGAGATTGATGCCCAACCGGGCTTTCTCAGGGCATCTCCCTTGCTGGAACATGACACGGCAGCCCCTTCCCCTCCACCTTGCCATGGGGCTGTCCCTTCAGGCCCAGGTTAGCAATGCCTGGAGGTGTTTGTGGGAAAGATCTGTCCCTTAACAGCTTGCAGCTGCCCAGCCTCCCCCTTTCCCGGCTTTCACTTGCCAAGGTGTGAAAAGTCACTAATCTGCCCCACATCCCAGTGCCTACGTGACAGGGACAGCCGCTATGGCAGGGTCTTCTCCTGTGACTCCCTAGGAGTTCTCATCTCATGCCTGTCTCCTCATCCCATGCATCCCATCCCATGCATCCCATCCCACACTTCCCATCCACGCATCTGGAGCAGAGACCCACAAAACCCAGCAGCTGCCGTGCCCTGCGCCTGTGCATCCCGGGTACCCCCTCAGTGCCTTCCCTGCCAGGAACTTCCTTATCCAGCCCAGATGAGGGTCTTCCCATGGTGCCACAGGGACAAGGGACGCGGGACCGTATCCTGCCCTCCCGGCGCTGCCCCTGCCTCACCAAGCTGGATTCCCACGGGAAGCCTCACGATGCAGCCCGGCTGCCTTCGCCCACAGGGAAAACGCATCAGGAAAATGTTTCGCCTGGTGCTGAGCTCCCTGGGGTAATATTTCACCAAATCCTTCCCAGACTATTGGCTTTGAACGCTGTCCAAGTGCCTGTGTTCCAGGCACCAGGCTCCCGGGGCGCAGGGGGCCAGGATGGGGCAGACGTTTGGGATGGGGCTGTGTCCGAGCGCGGCTGCAGCCGAACGAACCGCACGGTGACGGCCGCTCCAACACACACGGAGCCCACAAAGCACTTGAAATATAAGAACAACCCATAGGACTGGAAAATAAAGCAGCTTTTGAAGGATGACTGGAGGAAGGKCTTGTTGCCTGCCGGCTTGTCTGTTTTTTTTCCAGGAGGAGCAGCTGGTCTAATGAAAACAACCTATTTTCCCCACTYGCTTGCCTGTCTCCTCACTTTGATACTGCTCAAACCACACACACAAAAAATGCTTCACTTAATGCTACAAGTTACACCAGAAAACGACAACTCCTGTGATCTCGCAGAGGACACAGCAGCCTCTACAGACTCCCAGATAACAGACAAGGAACATATATATGTGTATACATGCATGCAGGTGATGCCAGTCCACCTAGAGCACAAGGCTCTGCCCTAGCAGGGGGTCTCGGTGAGAATAACTTGAGCTTGAGGGAATCACCTTGCAGAAATGCGATCCCGGGCCTATGATGGGGAGTGTGACGTACCTTCGGTGTCCTGATGTACCTTTGATGTCCTGACGTAGCTTTAGTGTCTCAACGTACCTTTGGTGTTGCTCCTCGGCCTCTCTGGCTGMGGAAGGACGAGTTGCACCTGCATTTATGGGACAGGATGAACTCCCTTTGCCAAGCTGTCACCCAGCCAACAAGCACACAAGGCCTCGGGCTCCATATGGCCGTTTTCAGCACAAGCAAAGGTTTACTCAGTAAAAAAATAGTTCTTCCAATCAGCGCCGATAACCGTGTCTACCACTACAGCCTTCCAGCTACGGGCTCAGTGTAAGGCCAATAAAGTGCTTGGATCGATAAACACACCAAGAAAGACATCCAAGGTCATAAAGGGATCCCCAAATCTACCTGAGGATAACAGCAAACACCAAAACACTAACACCAAACACCAAAACACCAACACGMAAGAGTTGGTCTTCCTCTGGGAATGTCCTTGGTCAGCAGCTTTCACTGTGAGCTGCTGCCAGATGAGAAAAGCCCCATCACTTGTAGCTTGCTTGGATTAATTTTTTTTTTATTGGAAAAGCATTTATTTGACTGGCATCAAACMTTACTCTTCCAGTACCACAAATGCTTTTAATGTGGTGGTTTCCARCACCCATGGCTGGGTGCAGAGGAGGCTCTGAGCCTGCCACAGACCTGGCTGGGGAGCAGGATGGAGCCATGGACATCCCCGCGGACCTGTCGGCAAGTCCTCGCCTCCCTGGAGCGAGGTGCTGCTCCCTGCGGGGTTGCCATCACCGTGGGCACTTGGGGCCGGGGCTGAGGCCAGTGGATGGTCCTGCAAGGTGGGAGCAGTGCCGAGCAGGGCCACATCCAGGCAGGACACCCGGCGGAGGTTGGAGCTTCCAGTCCAGAGCTGATCACAGCTGGGGATCCCCCAAAATGAAGYCGATTGAGGCAGGAGCATCTCCAGGCTTTATTGTCCAGGCAGCTCTTGGTCCCYGCTGTGCCGGCTCAGGGTTGACATCACCCTGCAGCCTGTTCCCAAACTGCAGGATCCTGTGCTGATGGCCYGTGGAAAGCCCCGTGCCCAGGGCGCCGGGCCGCGCAGTGTCCCGCACGGCTCGTCCCCTGCCCTGCGCCGCCTGCCCGGGGTTCTGTCCGCACTGCCGGCCTTGGAGCGCAGCTGCCGCCCTTCCCAAGAGGGACACGCGGTCCCGAGGCGCAGCCCTGGCCAGGCTGTGCAGGACGCGCCCGGCGGCCCGTCCCCTTCCAGGGCTCCGGAGGGCTGGGGTCGCCGGTCCCTGTCCTGCCCGTCACGCACCCCATGCTGCCGAGGGCACCCCAGGTCCCCAGCAAGGGGACCCCGCGTGGGGGTCRCTGCCCGCGGCCCCTCGCAGCCCCCGCCACGCGCCACCCCCAGCACAGGGCCCGGGGGCGGCAGCAGCGGGGCCCGCTCGTGCCCTTGTCCGGCCCGGGGCTGCCCCGGCACGGGGGGGGGCACGGAGGAACACGGGGGGACACGGGGTCAGGCCGGGCGGGGACCCCCGCCCCGGCGCAGCGGGACGGCAGGGGGCGCTGCGCGCGGCGGGCGCCGCCTCGGCTCTTTCGGCCCTCGCGGGGCTCCGTAGCGGCTGCCCGCCGCGCGCCTGGGCGGCCGTTGGAGGCCGCGTCGCAGCGGCCGCGCGGAGCGGGCCGGGCCGGGCGGAGCGGGCCGAGCCAGGCCGGGCCGGGCCGGAGCGCGGCCGGGAGGCCCCGCAGGGAGGGCGGCGAGCGCTCCCCGCGCCCCGGCCGGCGCCATGAGCGACATCCGGCACTCGCTGCTGCGGCGCGACGCGCTGAGCGCCGCCAAGGAGGTGCTCTACCACCTCGACATCTACTTCAGCAGCCAGCTGCAGAGCGCCCCGCTGCCGCTCGTCGACAAGGGGCCCGCCGAGCTGGTCGACGAGTTCCTCTTCCAGGTGCCCAAGGAGCGCGGCGTCCCGCCCAAGGTGCGCCCCGGGGAGCCGCTCACCCGCTCCCTGCCGCAGAGCGGGAGTTGGGGGTGGTGGGGTGCTGGCGAGGGGCGCGGGGCCGCGCGCGGCCCTGCTGCTGCCCGGCGCTGTCGGGGCTCTCCGCGCAGTGCCAGGGATCGCCCGGATCGCAGCGGGCCCGAGGTGCCGGTGGACATAGGGGTGCCCGGCCCTGGGGACAGCGCCCTGCAGGCCCGGCGTTCCCCGCCAGCTGCCTGGCAGTGCTCACTGCAAACGTCATTTGAAGGAGAAAGAAAAAAAAAAACGTTCCTTTTTTACCCCACACTTGTTATAGACCTTATTTTTCAGTTTACAGTCAGTGCTTGGTTGTGCAGCTCCCATTAGTCTGGTATAGCAGGCTATACATATGGTATACACMAATGTCTATGGCTTTTTTTATATAACTAGGTGAATGCAGTGGTTCTTCAGGAAGCTTACATATGTGCACACTGCCCTACAGAGGCACAGAGATTGTGGAGAGGTAGACGGGGTTTCTGAGGCTTTGGGGAACCTCTCAGCCTTTGCTGTACTTGCCTTTCACAAAAGCAATCCCTTGGTCTTCAAGAGCTCCAGGGTATTTTGCAGCTTTGTTTCTCTTTTCTTTCAGAGATTAAATTCACTTCAGGAACTTCAACTCCTTGAGATCATGTGCAATTATTTCCAAGAACAAACCAAGGATTCAGTCCGGCAGATCATTTTCTCATCTCTCTTCAGTCCTCAAGGAAACAAAGCAGATGACAACAGGATGGCGTTACTGGGGAAGCTGGTTTCCATGGCAGTGGCTGTGTGCAGAGTTCCTGTTCTGGAATGTGCTGCCTTCTGGCTCCAGGTACCGCTTAGGAGCAAACAGGGCAGGCCCTAGGCAGGAATGAGGGAGCATGTCCCAACTGTTATCCCRTGAAATATGTCACTTAAGGATCAATAACAATTGGCTGCTGTTTGCTTCTCCCTTGAGATTTGGGCAAATACCAGGGCCCGTATCCATGAATATGGTGGAGAGGATGTAGCCTAGGAGCAGAACAAGAACAGTTTTTACAGAGCAGAGCTCATAACTGACACGAGGGTTGCACAGAGTTGTTCTGTATTACAAAACCTCACTCCTTAGTGAAAAGTCACCTTTTAGGCAAAAAGGTTGACATCAAAGGTTTTGTTTTTAAAGTGTATCTTCAACTTGAAATGTCACCATCTATTTTAATATTGTGGTATAGTGACTTTATGCCTAAGCGAGTCCTTTATATGGTAAGAGARAGACTGTGCTTGTTTTGGGAAAGCAGAAACACAAATGTTGAAATGGAGAAGTGCATGGATGGCGTGGGCAGGGATGATGATTGAACAAATCAAACTTTAATACTGGCTCTCTAGAATTCCTGTGATTTGGTTTACACTGCTTTTCTTGGTGTTTTCTCCTGCAACCCTACAGCGTACCCCTGCTGTCTACTGTGTGAGGCTCGCTCGGGCTTTGGTTGATGACTACTGCAACCTGGTGCCAGGGTCCATCCAAACACTGAAACAGATATTCAGTGCCAGTCCTCGATTCTGCTGCCAGTTCATTACGTCAGTCACTGCTCTGTATGATCTCTCTTCAGGTAAAATGTTTCCAGACTACTCTCTCAAAAGTGGTAACTCCTAATGCAGCATGAATTAACTGTTGCAGACAAATTGAACTATGGAAATTCTAAAGAGGTTTCTTACAATCAAACTATTGCAAAAAGCTTCTTAGAGTGGGTGACTTGTACGTCATCTGTCATTGAGGCAAGAACAAAAGTAATCTGCAGGGGACAAAGGAAGAGGCTTTAATAGAGAAGTAACCATATAACACAAACAGCAACATCCRCCACAAAGGGTTCTTATTGACTGAGAAACTCTAGATGTGAAAGCTGGTCTACCTGGCCTGGAAAGTTTAACTGCTTCCTGCTGAGTGCCAGCTGCCCGGCAGATAGGCTCAGAACTGCCTGTCAATCCAGCTCTTGCCCAGATAAGATGAAAAACATAAAGCTTTTAATGTTTGCAAGCTGGAGGGGGATTTCTGTTGAACAGGAATAGGAAATGCAACCAACTGGTTGTGCAGACCTCCTGTGTAACCTTTCACTGTGTCCATGACCCGCTATTGATACAACCTACCTCCCGGTGTTGTTGCCCAAAGAGTGTGTATATGTGCAAAATAATATTGACTTAGCTTTGCTAACTGAAAGAGAGGACAATCACTTGCTAAATGCCAACTTCCTGCCTTCCTCAAAAAGGCAAATACTGTTTGTGAAGATAAAGGAAGTGTTTTCCACAGCCTCCTCCAGATAAACAACTTGCCAGTAGTGGGAGAGAAGTCCAGAGTTAGACACTCTTCTTTCTATCTTTAAGTCTTTCATTAAGCTTGTAGCACTTTTTTCCCCAATATTTTATATCTAAATAAATATACATATACATTTTAAAAAACAAAAGGTACTGACCTTGGATTGGGTAATTCTGTGGTCCAAATGATCTGTTCTTCTATAAGTTATTTTCATCAGCCAATCAAGGTGCAAAAGAGCTGACTAGATCAGTTCATTGCTCTGTCCTTTGCTGACTTGTATGTGATTCACAAGGAAGATAGTGTCCTCAGTCTTGGTCACCTGCCACRGCAACCAAATGACACATGATTATTGTGAAGTAAATATTTTTGTTGAGACTTAATCAAGCTGCAGGTCATGAGCAAGTTTTGCTTCTTGAAACTTAACATCATCTTAGAATGTTTTGCTGGTCACACTAAGTTTTTCTACAAGATATGCTCGTTTATAAGTCATAAAGAAAATTGGTTCAATGATTGGGATGAGGAGGGAGAATTGCCAGCAACTTTTCTTTCCCTTCATACTCTCTGGCATGGAGAAAATTGAGACCAAGGTTAGTGAAAGACTGAGCAGGTGATGGATCGAGGGGAAGGAAAGGATGAAAGAAGCTTTGTTCTGAAAGGAGTTAAATGTTGAAATGTGGTGGAGCCTTCAGAGTTCAAAGTGAAGCTTATAATACAGTTGTCTTTCTCTGTGCAAAAGAATAACTCCTGTTGGTATCTTGAAAATAAAAGATCAGAGTTAGGGTTGTTGCAAAATTCAGTTGTGCCAGTACAGGAAGTATACGAGTAAGGAATTCATGAGCAAACCACTGTCCTGTGCTGAAGGGCTCTGTTTGTTAACAATATCTTTCTTATCTTCAGATGACCTCATCCCTCCTTCGGAGCTGCTGGAGTTGATTGTTTCCTGGATCTTTGAGGACCCCCGCTTGATCCTCATTACCTTTCTAAACACTCCTATTGCAGCCAACCTGCCCATAGGGTTCTTAGAGCTCACCCCACTCACGGGACTGATCCGCTGGTGCGTGAAGGCCCCCTTGGCCTATAAAAGGAAGAAGAAAGCCTCTCTCTCCAATGGACACCCCCCCAGCAAAATTGCCAAGGACTCAGCTGCAGGAGATGACAAAGACTGCCATCAGCTGTATTCAAAACTGCATTTAAGTGTCCTACAGGTTCTTATGATGCTTCAGGGGCACTTAACAGAGAAGAACCTTTATGGACGCCTGGGGCTAGTGCCCTTTGACCACRTGGTTCCACTTGTTGAGGAAATCAACAGGCTCTCTGATGAACTCAACCCTCTCAATGCGTCCAAAGAGATCGAACTGGCCCTGGACAGGCTGGCTCAGGCTCTGCAGGTGGCCATGGCATCAGGAGCACTGCTGTGCACTAGGGGTGAGTAGCTGAGCAGGGCTGGCATGGAGCCTGGCATGGGCTTCTTTTCATCCAGTGCGTGGGTGGATGCGTGAGAGGGAGCTTTGGGATAAGGGGTGTAAAGATCGGTGTCTTGACAGCAGAAGTGGTAATTTGCTGCTCTCAGGAAACAATGTTAGAGTAAACTGCAGGAAATGCTTCAGGAAAAGGATCTGGATGGGGAGTAAGAAAAGAGAGCTCATTAATGCAGGTCATCATAGAAAATCTGTTGGCTTGCAGAGCTCGAGAGGAATTGACCCTCTTCCTTGCAGTGTTTGGAAGGAGTTTATATCTGAGCTCCTGGCACAAGAACACATTTGATCTCCTTGGGTTCCTATACAGATGGGAACACTGTTTAATATCAACACAAAGAGGAAGATGCTGCCTACTTTGATCCCTTGATCCTGAGGGATCAGGTCCTGAACTAAGTGTCATAACAGTCCAGGACCTCTGCAACCTCGTCATCTCCTGCCCACAGAGAGCTGCATCTGCCTAAGTGGGTGCCCTCTGTGAAGTAAGAACAAGCAGAAAAGTGGAATCTTTTGAGCTGATGGCTTTTTAAAGCTGTTTTCTAGCTATTCACTCAGTCCATTTTGAATGCTTGCTCTTACTGAAGAAGTGGAAGGTAGCTTGATAGGAGCAGTGGCTGAAATATTAGTTAATTGTATTTTGGATTTACCTACAAAAGTAGGTTTATCTGCAAAGATGGGAGCTTGGTCTCAAGCTCCTGTAGTTGCAGTGAGGGTGTGCACGCTGCAGTCACTGCGTTCAACCTGCTRCAAATTCTATATGAGCTTTGGTCTGCCTTGAAATGAGGCTGCTTTTCCAGTATGGCTGTATAAGTTAAATGCAAAGCATATAACAAAGTGTCAAGTGCAAAAAGGTGAGGAAATAACTGGCAAGGCAGAGAAGTGTGCTGTCTCCTATTGAAGTTACTCCCCTGAGAATGGGGTTTTGGACTTTCTTAGAGAGGAGAAAAGAGAGAAATAGTTAAAATTCTGCTTTATCTTTACTCTTCTATCTTCTATTCTCTTTCAGATGATTTGAGGACTGTATGCTCCAGGCTGCCACATAACAAGTAAGTGACTCTTCTATAGCTCYATTTGTTTTAATGCATATTTTAAGACACCTACTCGAGGTCTGTCAAGACAAAAATCCATATGAAAATAGATATTTACATACAGAAGTTGCCCTTTAGTTGCAGAGAGATTGAATCGCTGTCCTGTGATTCAGTGTGAACACCAAACTATGAATGCTGTGAAGAATCAGTGCCTTGTGGGCTAGGGAGAGCCACTACAAAAGCCTCCATGAAATAATACTTATGACTGTCTGAATTTCTTTTCACAGCCTGCTCCAGCTGGTGATTTCAGGCCCAGTACAACAACCAACCCACGGCCCTTTGCCACCAGGATTTTATCCACACATCCATACTCCTCCTCTGGGCTATCCCGCACAYGCGGCGCACCCTGCATTACCTGCACACCCGGCTCACCCAGCGCTCCCGGCTCACCCTGTACAAACATTTATCCCGGGAATGACATTCCCCTACAGACCTATTCGCTAAAAACTCAACTGTAAAATAGAACCAGTTTCCCATAGTTTGAGAAAGCCTTGCAGAGGAAACCAAAAGTTTGGGGAACCACATTTTTCTCCTTCAGTTTAAACCTGAGTAATGCCTGCACTGAAGGATCAGCCCTTGGGAGTAGTGACAACACAGACCAGTAGTCTGCAGAATATGAAGGCAGATCCTATAGGTGAAAGGAGGGATGTGGAAATAGACAAACAAGCTGAAAACCTCTGGAATGTGTGGAATTTAACCCACTTTGTTTCATTTAATCAGCCAAGATTGTTATATTTCCTCAACGTGTGTTTCTTCTTTTTTTGGTAGCCCATGTCTGTTTACTTCATGGTGAGACCAGATAATCTGGCTCTCTGTGTAAGAGGGCCAGAAGGAAAGCCATAAGATTTTCCAAGCTAGTTCACTCCAGCCTATTAATTTCTTTGTAAATGTTTGTGTCTATAGCTACAGAGTTAGTGTACACTGTATATTTTTGGAACACAAATGTTTGCTTCAGAAGCACAAACTAGAGTAAAACAGCACTGCCTATGAAAGGAAATTATTTCAGAAGTGTAAAGCAATTTTGCCCCTTAATCYTTTTCCCCAGTGATTAAAAGGCTCRGCTTGTTAGGCCTGTGCTAGAAAGGGAACATAATTCCTTTGCGTAGCAGAACTTGCTGCTTCAGCCACTACAAAAAATATGCAATTGGGCCCAATTACTAGAGCTTTTTCCTACTTTTTATCTCTGCTGAGATTCTATGAGGCCCTTTTGCAGGGCAAAACAGCAAGCAAGCAAGAAGGTCACCTTGTTACAAAGGCTCCAAATGCTGTGGTCCTGATGGGAGGAGCACATGGAGTTCCTGGGTCTTTGTTTGTGTGCTTGCTGTGGTCACAGGAGAAACCAGCTGGTGGCCAGGACTTGGAGAGGGGCATTTGCATGGAACATCTGATGGGAATCTGCTCGTCTTCCCCTGGAAAGGGAAGAGAAATCACTTTGTAGAGCTTAACAGCAAGGAAAACCCTCGAAAAGCTTTAGTTTCAGGATTAGAGTAATTACTAGTGAGCATCGCAGAGTAGGGAAGGCTATCTCAGTACCTCCTCCAGTGAATGATTGTGGGAAGCTGTGTGMAACGGGAAAGAGCCAGACATGATCTCAACATGCAGCAAAATTCTGTGGTGTTTTCCCAGCTTTTGTGCGCGAGGATGGATCTCTGAATTTTCCATTCAATTAAAAATTTTGATTCCTTTTGAATTTTGCCGCCTACCTGKGAGCGCTCGGGCGTGCTGGTGCTCYAGAACTCTTGTTTGCGGGGGAGCGCCCGCTTCCCTCTGCTCGCCGTGGTGCTTCCTGTCGGCTTGGGAGGCGGCACCAATTCCCGCTGCTTTTCCACGTGGCGCRGGGAGGACGTTGCGGAGGCCACGGGGCTGCGGTCCGGGCCCGGCCGCCCTCTTATAGGTGCGGGGGAGCGGCGGGGCGGGCGGGACCGCCGGGTTGACCTGCTGCCCATCCCGGCGCCACACGTAACCGGCGGGGGGCGGAGCTCGCCGCCGGCGCGCGGCGCCTGCGCGCAAGCGCGGAGCGCGCAGCCAATGGGGAGCGGCGTTGCTGCGGGGTGCGCGGCAGGAAGCGCTCGCCGGTGTCGCCGCGGCCCCGGCCTGCTCCGGTGCCGGCCCGGGGGATGCGCTGAGCGCCCCGCCCCCCTGCGCAGCGCGCCCGCCCGGCGGCCGCCGCCCCTCGGAGGTGAGAGCGGCGCGGGGTTGGCATGGCGACCGCGGGGCGGCGGCGCGGGCCGCGCCGGCACCGGCACCGGCGGCGCCGCGCCGGGCTCGGCAGCAGCCGCGGGCGCTGTCCCGGGTCCCGAAGCGCCGCTGTGCGCTGGGGGGCAGCCGGGCCCGGGCTGCGGGCGCCGCTGCCCGGTGAGTCACGGGGCGGCGGGGAGAGCCCTCCCGTGCGACCGGGTGTCGCGGGGCCCCGCTCGGGCCCGGCGGGAGAGCAGCGCGCTGCGTTGCCACAACCGCCGCTGCAGCTGGCATCGCGTCGCTGGCGCTGCCCGTGCCGCGCTACGGCTGTGCCGGCAGGGCAGGGGGTCCGCGCGCTCCGCGGGGCCGGAGCCGGGCCCGCAGCCCTGCCCACAGCCCCTGCTTCCCTCGGCATGCCCCGCACGACGGGCCCGGCCAGCGCGGTAAATGCACGTTTGAATTTCCTCTCGTTGTGGCAGCATTTCCCTTAACGGGGCTGGAATTCCTCACCCTGCCGCACGGAGCTGTCTCTTGCCCCGCGCGGGATTTGCGCTGCCCTCCAGGCTGCTCTGCGCCCTCCTCGCCGTCCGAGGCTGGCACCTCGCTTCACAGATCAGCCCAGTTGGCCCCCAGTATTCAACCATTCACAGCAGGATGATTTAGCCAAGACACTTCGCCTGCCTGTGCCTTGCCTTGCACAACGGCCACGTCCACTTGGACCTGCCTGCAGAGTKTTAGGGGAGAGATACTAATCGGCCGCCTCCCCGTCTAAGCAGGGCAATGGCTGGGCATTGTAGCGGAATGTGTCATGAGGTTCTTAGTCACGGATTATTAAACTAATCCCCAAACATTGTTGGAAGGAGCCCGGTGCTTCCTGCTACGCGCTCGGGCAGCCGCAGGGGCCTCGGCAAGAGGCCGCTGCCCTCTTGGGCTCCTTGGGGCTCAGGCAGACGGGGAGCCCGGCGGCGGGTTTTGCGTGTGCTCTCTGAGTGACAAACACCCCCCTGCTCTCCAGAACCGCCTGGCTTGGATACRGAAATAGAGTACAGAATAGAAAATAACTGCTGCCACTCCCTGTGCCGTGCCGGGATGGCGGGTGAGCGCCGGCAGCGGAGCTGTGCCGTTCAGCGCCTTGCCTTCCTTGCTGAGCCGCGCGGCGCGCAGGCATCGGCAGCCCTCTGATAACGCAGGTGTCTGCGCGTGGCCAGGGTGCAGCGTGTGCAGRGCGCTGGCACAGCAGAGCACTCGGGATCTTAATAAAACAGCGGGTTTTCCTCCTCTTGCAGAGGAGGGCGGTTGTACTCGACTCGATTTGAATGGACCTAGATTTGCTGTAGGGATTGCTGTGTCCCRTCCAAGCACGAGGGACCTGTGTGCCATAGACACTCAGTTGTGGTTACCAATGTCAGACATCTGTGACTGTCATCTCCTGTCAAATGTTTATGTTTGGTATAACTGAACACTGGAAGTATCTGCTTTTCCCCAACCTGCGTTCCTTTTTACCTGTTAGCCTACAGACTTCATCTGTCCCTTCCCCTCCAGTTTGCTTTTTAATTTGGGCATCATAACAGCCTTTTCCAATTGAACAGCTTCACATGCTATCAGCCCTGAAAATCAGTGTCCTATCCCCAAAGCATGCTGAGTAAATTGTGCAGCATATCTATTCATGTGCTCCTCTGTCTAGTTTTGAATTAATCTGTTGCCAAGTAATAGCTAGTAATTTGTCTTCGTCAATTTGGTTCAAGTTTTGTTCCCTTTCTTTTAGTCTCCCAGCGACTCTCCCTTTATCCCACAGCAGCTTTGGTTCCACGGATGCCTTTATGACTGTACTTCTGGTAGCTCTTTCGGGAGTCCTAGCACTCTGTATTTTTTAAAAGAAGTCATTTGACTAGTGTATTGCTATATTGTACATCTAGAATATATGTAGAATGTCACTTCAAAGTGATATTCTTAAAAAGAAACAGGTGGCTCTTCCCCAGTACGTCACAATCAGAGAATGAACCATCTTCATTTACAAGGTAACACCAGAGTGGTTTTGAAATAAATAATGTTAGGATCGTGCCCAGTTCCATGCTGGTTTTCAGTAAATGATTTTAATCTTGCAGGTTAGAAAAGCAATTTTGTTGCATCTTGTAAGTCGGTGCTTTAATTAGTCTCCTGTGATTTCAGCCTCTTGTTTGGTGTGAACTGGAGCTGCTGCTGCTGCTGCCCCAAATCCACCCTGGCTCTGTCTCCTCACCCGTTTCCTCCACCCTGTCTCTCGCCTCCTCTCCCAGGCCGTTTCCCAGCCCGATTTATGGAGTGAACAAGAGTTGATGAATCCCTCACTGCAAGGACTGCCTTTTAATGATGGTGCTGATGCAAATACCTAAAGAACAGCAGCTTGGGGTACAAACCTGGGGGCTTTCCTGGGAGCAGTTGGCTCTTTGTGGGGTTTTCGTTGCTGTGCTTTCCTGCTCCTTATGGAGCCAGCGGGCCACTTTTTTTTTTTTTCTGGGGACTCGGTGCTGTTGGCTGCTCTTAGTCCTTTGTTCTCCAAATGTTGAGCTTTTAAAGAAGCTCTTGGCATTAGGTCAGCGTAATGGCAGGTTAAGCTCTCTCTTGTTCAAGTAGCTCTTCAATAAACTCCAGTTAAACACTTCAGTCTTTGTTAGACAGGCATCACTCCTTTTTCTCCGGGGGTGGTTGTGTGTTTATCTCGGTGTGTGTGTGTCTGTCCTTAATGGCAATCAGGTGGCCTTATGTCATAAATGCAGCGTGTTGCAAAATCCCAAGTCTGCTGCCTGGCCATGCATCTCCTTTCCTCTCTGCAGAAAGGTGGGAACCGGAGTCAGTTTCCACACATTGGCTTTTAAATTGAACTTAATTTTCTCCCTTTATACTGGTCACTGGGTACATAAGAGCAGATGTCTATGCCAGGATGCATTTTAAATGATATTGGCTTAAAACAATAGCAGAGATTCTTTTATATTGAACCTGTGCATCTAATGCTGCAAATGAAGAAGAAAGCTTTTTTGTTGTTGTTGTTGTTTAAATTTCTTGGCTCAAATTAAAAAAAGAATCTGGGAGCAGAGGGAGGATGAGGAGCGTGTCTGCCAAGCAGAGGAAGGAGGTTCTTCTCGGGCTGCTTGTGGATGTGTTTTCTGTGGGAATTTCTTTTTTGTTGTTGTTTCGCTTTGGTTGGTTCTGGCACCTTTGTTTAATCTTCTCTAATAAAACCACTTCTTAGTGTCTCCCTGCTGCCTGTAGGAATCGTGCTGTGTCCAACACTTGTAAAGCCCTAGATCTCCCAGCTCCGGCTGTTACCGTGGCTTTGCTGTGACCCTTTGGGTTTAACTCCCCGCAGCGCTCCTGTCACAAAGCAGATTTTCTTGYCCATGTCTTAGCAAGAAAAGATTGAACAGCAAAACCCTCTTAGTGGTTCTTGCTCACGGCTCCCTGGAGGAGCTGCTGTATCTGGGGCAGCGCAGAGCTGTGCCTTTCGCAGAGTGCTTTAGAGATGCTGTATTTGGTGCCACCTTCAGTGAAATCCACGGCTTCAGCAGTGTAACCAGAGCTCCCAGGAAGACCAAGAGCCCAGAATGTACCTCGCACTCAAAATATTCATATTTCTTCTGCTGGAAGGTTAATCAAGCTTCAAATGTGCAGAAGATCAGGGATATAACGGGATTTYGCTAACTGTGAGTGTTTTCATTCCAAATCAATAACCACCCTGGCTGGGCAGGGTGGGTTGCCTTTTCCCTGCTCGCTTCTCAGTAGTTTTTTGGTGTCCGTTTGGAATTCTGGKTCTTCGTGGCAGGAGGTTAAGGTGTTAGTGACTGTGATTCGGTGTGTTTTCATGTTTGCAGTGCAGATCTTGTGGCRTGCACAACTCGCTTTGGGCAAGGCATGAATATTTGCTGGATTTCAGTGCTTCTCAGTGCGAATCTTATGGCATTTTCTGCAGAGGGAAGTTGAGACACTGGGATGGGTGCAGTAATGGCAGGTCTCAGCTCTTATAGTTGCCTAAATCAGGTAGTTCTCAAYGACGTTTGTCCAAAATGCATCCTTCCCTCCTGTTTTTCTTCTGTGTTGGGTTTGGATTTCTTCTTTCGGACTGTGTTCTTGAAAATCCCTGACTTCTTACCAGCCTCTGAGGGTGCCCAGGGCCTCCAGGGGCTGTTTCGGGAGCTTGGCAGCTGCTGCTGAGTCTCACTGTGATGAGAGTGGGAGCGGAGCTGCTGCTCCTCGGCCTCGAGGGCCTTGGATCTCCACCTCGGAAGAAGGTTTTGGAAACGRAAAACCTTGGTGCTTTCACATTCTGATTGAGTAGGTAGACAAAAATATTTCTCCTAAAGAGATCAGCAAAGCTTTGGAAAATCTCTGGATCACTCGTGCAGCCAAGTAATTTCCCAGCACAAGTGTTGCTCTCACCCTCGGCATGTGGAAACAGCAATTGGGAAAGGCTCCTGTTCAGGAGTTTCGTTCTGCTAATTACCGCRTGCCACGTGGATGTGAGCAGTGCCAGGAATTTGGTCTTCAAAGGTAGGCTGAATAATTGCCAGGAACCAGGAGCAGCTCTGCCACTTGAGTATGAACAGAGCTGACTTGTCTGGAATATCCTCCCTGCTGGTCACGGCAGTTACTAATTTTCTGCCTTTGTTTCTTTGGCAGCAGGARCACGTGGCCAGCAGTGGAGTTGTACAGATCTGCTGTTTAAATGCAGGTTAAATGCAGTGTAAAGGTGTCCTAAGCTTGCTTTAAATGCAAACTAAATGCAGTGTAAATGCAAGAGCATCCTTCTCTGTTCACACAGCAGCAAAGGAGTAAAGTGAGGCCCCACAAACACACCCCGTGCTGGGGAAGGGCCGCTGGAATTTGGGGGGGGAGGAGAAGCTATTAGCTCAAGCATCCACTGAAATATAACTGCACATGAGGCTTGCTGGAGGGGGAGGAAGGCCACAGGATAATGCACAGTGCTGGCCTAGCTCTTTGAGACTATAAAGCGCTAGGTAAACATGAACTAATCCRGGCAAGAATGTGTGTCCTGTGCTGACTAAGTCGGCACCTAGAAACCCCCAGCCCTTCTTTGTCCTCTGGGTAGCAGTGAGTCAGGCTCTGTTACGGCTCTGTCTCATCTCTCCCTCATTTATTAATGCCCAGAGGAGTTTAAATGTTTGACTGATAAAGGCTSTTGATGTACAGGACCCTGAAGTGTTTCAGAAATGAAAATGATGTGAGGGTGGGATCCTGCACACCTGGATGCTGAGCRCAGCCTGCGAGAGGAGCCATGCGAGCTTGGAGCCTCAGCGTGGGCAAAGCTGATCCAGCGCGTGTTCCTGCTYGCTCCTCTGCCTCTCAGAGGCAGTGGTGATTCCAAAGCTCAGCCTCAGAGGGGCTGAACCAATTCTACCTGTGTAAAATTAGTCTTAAAAGCACCAAGGACTGCCCTTTTTGTTTTTCTTTTTTGAGAGATTCAAGTGGTTAAGACCTTCTGAAACCAGCCCTTGAGCAGATAAAAGCCTGTGGCTCGGGAAATATGCAGCAACAATCCTAGAGCGGGCTGTTTGATAGCTCTGATTCTTTAGGCACCTCTTTGGAGGAGAACAGATGATCCATGTCAATATACAGATTCTTGCAGGTGCCCTTCAGGTGGACGTTAAAGGATCAGTCGCTGGAATGATAGCTGTGCCTGAGAAGCACCTCTTGCTTGGAGAAACCCACCTTATTTCCTCTTTTCCTGGAGCTACAGGAAAACTCCTATGGCACTGCTGCCTATTAAAGCATTTTGCGTCTGCTTGGACAGGAGAAGGGCCGACAGAAGGGCTGTCACTGTGGGTGCTGTTCCCAAAAAACGTTCCCAGATTCTGAGGAGAGCAATTGGCCCCCTGTGGCCAGAGCAGGTCAAGCTGCAGTCGGCGCCGTGGCTGCCTGTTTTGTGCAGCTTTGCTGGTTGCAGGAGGGTTGTGAAGCCACCGCCACGTTTACGCTGAGCTGCCTGAGCGGCACATTGAGTGCGAGTGTGTTGAGGTCTGTTGAGCTGCAGCTTTAGGGGGTGTGTGTGAACAGTGAGCTCCAGCCGGTGTGGGGGGCTGGCTCTGCCCATGGGAAGTGCCATGGGGCTCAGGGAGCTGGCCTTATGCCAGCCCTGACCCCGTGGGCAGCAGGGCTCCAGGTTGCCGCTCGGGTTGGTTTTGTTGTGTTTCACTGAAAACTCTTGTACTGGAACAATCTGCTYGGCACTGAGAATCCCCGTTTGTGTTTTGTCCTTCCTAACGTACCTGCCTCCCTTGCAGGCGTGAATGACAGAGGAGGTGCCCCCGACGGCGCTCACCGACGTCAACCTGCGTCTGCTCTGCCACGATGACATAGACACGGTGAAGCAGCTCTGCGGCGACTGGTTCCCCATCGAGTACGTGGCAGGGTTGGGATGTGGGAGCCGGGGGAAGCCTGGCACACACGTGGCACCAACCTGCACGGGAAGGTTTCGGAGCTGAGACCGAAGGCTCTGCAGCTCTCCCTGCTCCGTTGCTGAGCTGTGAATATCCTGTGGAGCGTGGTGGTGTCGCCATGAATGGCCTGTTGCTGCCTGCCCTGCAGCGCCSTGCAGCCTCAGAATGGTCCTGTCTGCAGATCTGGCAGATAACAGCCTCTGTAATTGAGGGGTGGATCTGCTGTTTGGGAGGGACTGACGGGAGTGAGATTATACCTTCAGCAAACTGGCAGTGTCTGTGTTGGTGAAAGGCAGTTGGGTTCTCGAGGGTGTGCAAAGAAGGCACGCAGAACTGACCCAAACTCACAAGATATGGCTCTTCCTAAGGGACAGTCATTCGGAGTGTCCCGGAAGGACAGGACTGGCCTGCGTTCTCAGGGTTGCTCCCAGTTGCTCCCAAAGAGCAATGCTGTTCAGTCAGATTTTAGCCTCAAACCCCTTTTTCTCTAAATGTTCCTGTTTTTTCTCTTTTTCCAGGTACCCTGACTCATGGTACCGAGATATCACTTCCAACAAGAAGTTCTTTTCCCTTGCAGCCACATATAGAGGCTCCATCGTGGGAATGATAGTAGCAGAGATCAAGAGCAGAACAAAAGTGCATAAAGAGGTAGGGAAACTGTTTTAGTACGAGATGTCCCACCACTTGCTGTGGTTTCCTGGGATCCACTTGGGATTCTGTCCCCATTCATCTAGGCACTCATAAGAGCCATCCTGACCTATTCAAAAGCCCCAAAACATGCTGATTCCCAGCTCATGGAGCAGTGGTGATGAAAYGTGTGGGCTGCAGGGCTTAAAGGCTTCTGCTGCACAGCCTGTGGCCAGGAAGTCTTTACCTGCTGGGGCAGGGCAGCTGTGGTCTGCTGGGAACCAGGCTGAGGCTCTGCTCAGGTAATTCAGGCCTCCTCTAAACGTCGCTGTGCAGCAAGCTGCTGTGCTCTGCTGGGCTCTTCTCCGGGTCCCGGCTCATGGTGGTGGCAGGAACACGCAGCTGTGGGAGGGCAAAGCTCCTTTCTGATGCAAGGCTCGAACTGCTGCTGCTGCTGCACAGGATGGGCCACTCCTGGGGTCTGACTTCCTGCACAGATTAGTGTGTCCTTCACTTGAATAGTCACTGCCCCAAACATGAAGCAGAGGTGACCAGTCCACAGGCTTTATGGATTAGAGAGCTTGAAGGCTCGCAAGGAAAATGCGGGATGGCCAGAGCCAAAGAGGAATTTCTCTGGGAAACTAAGAAGGAAAAGTCACTACAAGAACAACCTAGGAAAATCAATACAGCAAAGCAATGCAGAAAGCCCAGTAATAATTTCCCACTAACCTTGTGGTAGGTGTCCCAGTACAGGGTGCTTGCCTTCTCTCCCTCCCCAGGAATCCTACTAAATAACTTGTCTTTCCTCAGGATGGAGACATCCTAGCTTCCAATTTTCCTGTGGACACTCAAGTTGCTTACATCCTAAGTCTTGGAGTGGTGAAGGAGTTCAGAAAACACGGAATAGGTAAGGCACTGCTAACTGGTGGCCCCGTTGCTGGGTTGTGTGTGCCGTGCGCGGCCAGTGGGCAGGAGTGAAGAGCAGCAACATTTCCCTGCACTTGCCTGTTGAGACAAGCCTGTGTCTGACTTGAGCCAGCAGCTGAGGTGGTGACACGGTCGCTCACACCCTTTGATGTTAATGCAAGAGCACTAAGAACATCTCGGCAGGGCCTGCCTGGGCATGGGTGTCCAGGTGTCATGGGTGTTCCATCATTGCTAGAACAGGGGGTGCAGGTGATCCCCCTGGGAGCTGGGCTTTCCTGACTGCCCCGGGAAGGTGCCTGCACTGATTCTGCTCTTCCTTCCTTTGCTAGGTTCACTCTTGCTTGAAAGTTTAAAAGATCATATATCCACAACAGCCCAGGATCACTGCAAAGCCATCTATCTGCACGTCCTCACCACTAACAACACAGCAATAAACTTCTACGAAAACAGAGACTTTAAACAGCACCACTATCTTCCCTATTATTATTCCATAAGAGGGGTCCTCAAAGATGGCTTTACCTACGTTCTCTACATCAACGGCGGACAYCCACCCTGGACAATCTTATATCCTTTACCCTTCACTCTGATTAGTCTGAGTGAGCTGAGCAAATGCAAACCAGRTGTTGGGTTAGAAACAGCAGTCTAGCAAAGCGTGGCTCAGTAGGTCTGGRCACTGAAGCCTGTGCAGACGTGAGCTTAGTTTAACTGATTTCCTTGAAGCCAGGACGAAGGCACTGTTATGTCCAAACTCCCAAGTATTTTCCAAGCCTGTGGGAACAGTTCTGGAAGTCAGYGTAGGGTATTGTGCAGAGAATCCTCATTTGGGGCGAGTTTGATGCCAGTGAAAGCGAGCACTAGTGTTAAGTCAGCGTTAAGCAGTCCTTGGCTGAGGGGTGCAGAGCTTTCCCAGCAGCCTCGGATTCATCGTGTCGGAGAAGCCCTTGATCCTGTTTCCTCTGGTCAGAGTCATCTGTGACCTTGGCCTGGATCTCATCAGGTTCAGCACCCCATGGAGTGAGTTTGACTTCCCAGATGAAAGTGGGTGCATATCAGCCCTCCTAGTTACATTGGAAGGATCTGGACTTCATTTTAAGTTTGGATGAAGCTTTTCTTGATCTTTCCCAGTGTAGCTACATAAACAAAATATGTCTGGAAAGATGCTGGCCTGTGAGGCCACAGTAACCTCTGCAGAGCGCAAAGGAAGTGAGCAGTTGCAGAGCCAGGTGTTTCGCATGTGGTTTGGAGCCAGCATTCCCAGACTGCCTCCTCTTGTGGTGCAGAGTGGATCTGCTTTTATTAGAAAGGAGCAATGCCTTAAGAGTAAGGGGCGAGTCAGTCTAAACCGAGTAGTGCAGCTTGCAGCACGGCTCACAGGCTCCTCGAGGAGTGCTAGCCCAAATTTTAAGGTTTTTTTTTTTTTTTTTTTTTTTTTTTTTAGTTAAAACATGGATGTTGTTGTCCTTAACCAATAGCCACTGACTACCTACAGCACATTGGGTCAACACTAGCCAGCCTGAGCCCCTGTTCAATCCCCCAGAGGATTTACCGGCAAGCCCAGAGCCTTCTCTGCAGCCTCCTCCCGTGGTCGGGCATCTCTGCCAAGAGCGGCATTGAGTACAGCCGCACGATGTGACGCCAGCAGAAAAGGTACAGCAAGCAGAGGTGGGCACGGGAGCCAGGCTCCCCTTCCCCATCCACAGCCCATCCCTGCCACCTTACCGTGTCCCAAAGCAGTTGAGGCGCTGCTCGAACAARGACCGCAGGGGCTACAGCTTTTACGTCCTCTGGTTGTGTGAGCTGCAGCATTTGGTGTCTTCTCTTGCTGTGCTCTGCTCTCCAGCTGCTCGTCAAACTCCTCTTGGTTCCATCTGAGGGGAATTTGGGGCCTGATCGTGTTCACCTGTGCCCAGAAGCTGACAGCAGACTGAGCCTGTGCCTCCTGTCCCCGGCCCTTTCCCCCAGCTCGGTTACAGGAGCTTGAAAGACCCAGCGTAGGGTCCTCGTCCTTTCCCCTGCACCCTGTCCAAGCACAGGAGCTGAGCGCACGTTTGCCACCAACTGCATTGAACTTCTCTGACAAAGTCTGCACGCCAGCAGCTTCCCAACACAATTTGAGCGCCTCTTCCTTTGTGCACTGACCGCTATTCTCCCTAAGGCTGTTGCTCTCCTTGTCTTTCTGTCATTTGTAGGATCGTTCTTCCATCTCCTGAACCATCGGCTCTGCTCTGATTCTGGTGACATTGGCTTTCGGTCAGTGACCCAGCCCTCTGCAAAGGACTCCTTTATCTCTGCAATTTGACCAAGATCTGGCAGACTTCGTGTTTGACCGGCAGCAGCCCTGACTTAGCCCTGCGGCCTGGAGCCTGCGAGCGCCGCGCGGCCGGGCCCGGCTCTCCCGTGAGGCCCCGGTGGTGCCACGGGCAGGGTCSCCGCGGCCCCGGCTCTGCGGGCGGCTGGCACCGGCTCCTGCCGCTGGCTGCTTCGCTCGTGCCCTTGCGCGCGACGCGCGGGGCTCCGGGCGCCGCTCCCGCGCTCTGGCTGCTGAAGGTGACATGAATGAGGTTAACGAAGCCGCACTGACCGACCATGAGCTGTAAGCAGCCTGGCAGGCCCTGCCCGCAGRGGAGGGAGCCGTGTCCTGGTCGCGGGGGCGCTGGGGAGCTGGGGGGGCCCACGGGATTGATCGGGGTCCTGCTGGGTCAGCGGCTGCTGCTTCCTGCCCCCTCGCAGGAGCTCCCGGGGATTCCTGCCCAGCCCCACTGGCCCTTCTGGAGCTACCTAACAGAAGCATCCAGTTCAGGATGCATCAAGTAGGAGGCAGGGAAAGAAATTGCTGTTTCATAGTGAAATATATATTATACTGTACAGATCTTCCTGCCTGTGTCCGAGTTGGAAGTCGGCAGGGGAGGGGGCCGGGGGTCTGGAGCTGCTGCTGCAGCCAGAGCCCCAGGGGACTGGCACAGAGTCCTCCTCCTCCTCCTCCTCCTCCTCCTCCTCCCCTGCACGTGTCTTCCCTTGGCACGGGCATCGAACTCTCACAGACTCTTTAGCAACGAGGTCTGCACAGGTCGCCGGGGCTTTTATTTGCCTGCTGAAGAGAAGCCGTTGCCGCTGCCCACTGTGGACAGCCCCACGTGCCGGCTGCATCCACTGCCGGAGGCACTTCCTGTGGGATATGGGAATGGGAGACATGGGAATGGCTGGGCAGGGCCAGCGGGAGCCCCGTCGGAGCCGGGAGCAGCGCCTGGCACTGCGGGAGCTCAGGTGCCTGCTTTGCTTTCAGGCTGCAGGTCTTTGCAGGAGACACGGGCGCAGCRGGACTGGCAAGAGAGCAGCTCTAAGTCCCTCCTGGCCCGGGCAAGGCTTTCCGTGCTCAGCACCGTGTCCCTCGTCCCCCCTCTCATGAACCTGCTTTGAAATCGGGAGCTGGGGGAGGCAGGAGCTGCAGCCGCGCGCTGTGCACGTGCAGGCGGTGCTGGCCACGGTGACGCGAGAGCCCCGGGAGTGCCCAGGGTGACAAGAACCTGTAGGTCTGGAAAGAAAAGGAGTGCYGAGATCTTGCAGCCCAAGTGATTTTGTACCAAGTCCTTTCAGCCTGTGTAGGGCCTTGACACAGGAGTTAAATAATAAAAGGATGCAGGAGCCCTTGCTGTGAGYGGTGCCGTGGTGGCTGCCGGCTGCGCCCCGTGTCCCAGGTGCAGGAAGCCCCTTTGGAAGCAGCTGTCCCATTGCTCCCTGCCCCATGGTGGGAAGCGTTTGGGTCCAGCCCCGGTGCTGGCAGAGGCTGCAGCGCTGGGGGCTGCTCCAGAGGAGCTGCCGAGCCCTGGGCCAGGAACTGCCCTTGGGGCGAGGGGAGAAGGGGGCCCGGGGGGCTGGRTAAGCCCTGGAACAGGAGCCCCAGAGGCGGGTGATGGGCGGGTGATGGAGGCCTCGAGACCCCAGGGGACAAAGCCCTGAGGCCAGTCCCGAGCCTGGTGCTGACCCTGCCTGGAGGTGGTTGGACTGAGGCCTCCTGAGAGCCCTGATGTTCCCAGCTCCCCGGTTCCTGCAGCCGGCAGCCAGGGAGGGCGGCGCTGGGGAACAGGGCAGCTGGGCTCTCGCCCGCGCGCTGCGGAGGGACACGGGCTGCGGAGGGTTTTGTGGCAAAGGAGCAGTGAGGGGGGAGCCCCGGGAGGCGCTGGGGCTGCCCCGCGGCGCTGCCAGGTCTGTGCCGGCCCCGCAGCGTCGCCAGCCCAGGGCGGAAGGTGATCACAGCCCTGGGCGAGTTGCAGCGTTGGGGCTGTAGCGGGGCCAGGCACAGGCGGCTGCGGCGCAGGGAGCGACACAAACGTTTAGCTCAGCAGAAACCGGAGCCAAACGGGGGCCGCTGGGCAGCGCGGGCGGCTGCCGGAGCCGCTGCAGCCCGTGGGCTCCGGCAGCCGCGGCTCCCTGGGCACTGCCCCCACCAGCTGCAGGACTCCTGATGCCCCCAGCTAAGGGGGGTTTTAATGGGAGCACGAGCCCCRGACGCCCCTTGCTGCCCCATGGGCCGGGATGGGCTCCAGGCGCTGTACCGTCACCACCGTCACCAGCAGCCCCTCACCACCGCCAGGGCCACCCTCCCTCTGGGCTGAGGTCCCTGACGGAAGAGCCGCCGGCTCCCGGTCAGTGGAGCCGCAGGAGCCCATTGAGCAGAGCCGCTAGTCCTGGCCGACCTCCCCTCCGGCCATGCCGAGCGCCCCAGCTGCAGGGATCACCTGAACCCCTCTCACCTCTCTGGCTTAGCTGCTTTTTACGTACGTGTTTCTGTTGGTTTATAGGGGGTTCTTTAACAGTGAAGCTCTCGGGCTCTTTTTCTGCTTCAGTTGCTCTGACCTCGCTGGACCAGAACGACTCAGTTTCCTTCCTGTCCGCCTGGGATCGGTGTTTCCCACCTTTCTGTCCTGCCCCTTCCCAAACTCCTGCGACTGCAGCGTGCGGCAGGGGAGCGGTGCTCGGTGCGTGTTGTCTCCTTCCAGCCTGTCCTCRCTGTCCGCCGTGTCCCCGGCCCCACTGTGCCCTGTTATTTATTGAGGCGCTGTGTGCCACCCGTCAGCAGCCTGCTGAGTGTCTGGATTAAACCAAGGCTCTTTTGTGCATCTTCTGTCACTTTGTCCCACAGCCTGACTTGAACCCGTCCCCGGGAGCCCCCACTCCCCTGTCCTGCCCTCACGCTGCGCCCGGGGGCTGAGGCCCCTGCCGGGCACGAGGAGGAAGCAGCAGAGGGGAAGGAAATGGTGGCGCCTGCTGCGGAGCTGCTGCCCGCAGCGCCGGGCACCTGCCTGGCCACAGCGGGGCGGGCAGGGAGCCCCGCGGGGCTGGCGCCAGCGGCTCCTGCTGCYCAGGGAGCCCAGGAAGGAGCAGCGGAGGCTGCTGCGGGACCGGGGCCTTGCGGCGGGAGGCAGCGGCTGAGGGGGGTGCGGGGGAMCCCCTCTGCCCCAGCCCCAGCCGAGCTGCGTGCGGGGAGCGGGCGCCCCAGGCCCGTCACTGCGGCCCCTGCAGCGCAGGCGGCTGCACGGGAGCCCAGGGAGGGCCCCTGCAGTGGAGGGGCTGGCAGTGAGAGCAGCCGGGCAGCTCCCGCCTCGCGCTCCCCGTCCCCAGCCCTCCTGGTGACGTGGGGGCCCCTCCATCCTGCCTGGGAGCCACCTCATCRCCCCCACGCAGCCACACAGTGAGCGCCGGGGCTGCCGCCTCGCTGCGGCCCTCAAGAAGGACCCCGGCTGCGACGTGTTCAGCAAAGCCATTTATTCCACTTCCTTGCTCCCCTAGCTCTCTAGATGCAACCCCACACGAGCCATTCCCTGCGCCCCACAGGGGATTCACTGCTGCCCGCCGAGGGGGCGCCGGCCGCCTGCCGGGGAGAGCCCCCCCCGGCGCCGCGGGGCCACCGCGCTCCGCGGCCACTGCGAAACCCAGCGCGGAGCCACCGGCGGGGCGTTTAAAAAATAACAAGTTTTGTTCCTTAAAAATAAAACCGGGACCTGAATTCAGCAGTGTGTCCCTGAAATCAAAGCATAATTCTAAGGCTTTGGCGCCCTCACGTAAGCACATGAACCCTCTGCAGGGGGGCTGCTCAAATTGATCTGGGAAGCTCGCTACAGTTTAATGGCCATAAAAATACATAGCTTTCCCCTGCTGAGACAAATCCAAACCCGCCTGGCTGGACAGGACGACAGTGGAATCACGTGGGCAGCATTTGCAGCCAGCGACTGGTTGGAAAGTTAGAAGAAAGTCTCTAGTCTCCTCACCCACTCTTACACTCGCAGGCGGAGCAGCGTCACTCCATGGGCTCGGCCACCACCTGCTCCGCCACCGCGTCCCCGGCCAGCGGCTGCTCCGCGGCGCCCGGCACGGCCTCCTGCTGCTCCGCCACGGCCTGCGCCGCCAGCCCGGCCAGCGGCTGATCCGCCGCCTCCGCCGCCGCCTGGTTCTCTGCCTTGGCCGCCGCCTCGGCCGCCAACTCGTTCGCTGCTCTGGCTGCCGCGGCCACCTCGTTGGCCGCCCGCGCGGCGGGCGCGTTCCCCGGCACAGCTGCCTGGTCGAGCGGGAGCTTTTTCGGCTTCTGCGTGGCTGCCACGGCCTCCGCCAGCTTCTCCTCGGGCACCATGTTCAAGATCTTCAGGGCAAAGAGCAGCTGGAATTTGGCTGTTCCCACGAAGGAGTTGCCCAGGAAGTTCGGCAGGCCGCCCATGCGGTCCTTCTGGGTGTAGAGGGGCACGCGCACCATGCCCATCACCTGCAAGGCACAGCGCAGAGCTCGGCTCACTGCCGGCRGGCACCCCCGCGCCCAGCGCCCCGTCCCCTCAGCCCAGGGGCCCTCGTGCCACAAGTGACWCCCCCAGCCYGCTGCCCTCCTGCGCGGGCAGCGCAGCCGCTCCCTGCAGCCCCTGTGCTCCCCCTGCCCGCTCAGCCCCTGGCCCGTGGTACCTGGGGGTCCTGCTCTCCCCTCCGTGCCCAGCCCTACCTAGGGCCACCGCAGCTGCCTACACGTCCCCCTCGGCCCAGGGCCGAGCAGCTCCCTCCGTGACGCTGCTGGAGCAGCCGGGGGACAGCCCAGGAGCCCCTGGCTCTCCCGCTGTTCCTGTGCGCAGCCGGCTCCTTCGCTGCCTGCYGGCAGGCGGGCAGAGCTCGGGCCCTGTCACCGCATCACCGCACCAAGGGTCACTGCTTCGGCCGGGGCCGCTTGGCCCCCAGAGCCAGGACCGACCTCGAGCAGGTCCTTACGCTGCGCGGGTTCCTAGGGCTCCTCCTGGCCAGGAGGCGCCCTGCGCTACCGAGCTGCCCTAGCGAGGGGCCAAGTGCTGCTGCGCCAAGGGGCAGCGCTCGGGCGGCCCGTGCGGGGCGCGCGGTCCCCGCTGCGTCGCCCACCTCCAGCCCGTGGTCGCGGGAATGCACCGCGCTGATCTCGATGGTGTGCAGCTCCTCCAGGGTGAGCTGCCGGGCGTAGAAATGGGCCACCACGCGGTGCGGCCCCTCTGTCAGGTGCGAGCAGAGATAATCAGCTTCCGTGAGGCGCACGCAGCCCAAACCCAAGCCCAGCACCCGATTCAGACCGTCCTCCAGGGACCAGTAACGGCGATCCACGAACCCCCCGGGAAAGCCCAGCAGTCCGTCAAACCGCATCTGCATCTGCAAGTAGAGGCGCTGCGTGTTAACGGGCGCCGCGGGGCCTGACCTGGCACCGCCCGGGCCCGCCGCCCCGCGCCGCCCGCGCCCTGCTCCCCGGCCCGCGCTGCCCGGCGCGCCCCGGCGCCGCGCTCACCAGCACGGCGTAGCGCAGCGGGATGCGCCCGAACAGCATGCCCGGGTTGGGCGCGTACAGCATGGCGTGGCACGAGTGGCTCCAGCCCGGGCCCAGCCGCATGGCCTCGTAGCGCGTCAGCGGCTTCAGCTCGGGCACGCCGGGCACGCCGAGCGTGGGCAGCGGCGGCAGCGCGCCCGCCGGCAGC